GGAGGATATAACACAAACACAGCAGCGCTCCACCACACTTTGATATCTAGAGTACGGTGGCCATCGTGTGAGATGTGCACAAGAACAAATGATGGCAAATGATCGTTTACTACACCAATATTTACTCAAGTATTTCCTTAAACGATTCACTTTCAGGCCGAGAGGATCGTGTGGAAATAGATGATGCTGATAATCTCAGATTATCTAATAACAATAAAATTAATCAGCCCATCTGATATATGCAAACACATTCTTACAGTGTTTGTAACACACAGAGAATGTTCCAGAAGGGTGATTCAACAAAAAACAAGAAACTGAGAGAGAGCAAACGAATGGTGTGTGTGTGTATGTGGGTGTGTGTGTTGGGGGTGAAGTCAAGACATCTGAAATATTCACAAGAGGAAAACCCACAGCCACAGGTCTACAACACACACATCCAGAATAATCTCTAAAACTATATATTAGGGCTGTCAAACGATTAATCGCATCCAAAATAAAAGTTTGTGTTCACATAATATATGTGGGTGCACTGTGTATAATTATTTTGTATGTATGTATGTATATATATATATATATATATATATATATATATATATATATATATATTCACACACATGCATGTATGTTTTTTAATAAAAATAAATTATTTATTTATTATTTAATTATAAAATTATTTAATTAATAATTTATTTATTATTTAGAATAAAAATATTATTTATGTATAAAATACTTATATATAATATAAATTATATATAAACCTATATACACAGTATATACATGAAAATATTTCTTAAATATACACATGCATGTGTGTGTATATATATTTATATATATATAAATATACACGTGTACTTTTATTTTGCGATTAATGCGATTAATCGTTTGACAGCCCTAATTTATACTAAATATTTTCAGTTTCATTTTGCCTTAAGATTGATCCAAATTTTGTAAATCTGAAGCTCTTTGGTCATTTTTGACCGAAAAATGTTTTTTCTTCTTTTTTTTTTTCTTTTTTTTTTACTTCATTGGAATTGTACGAAACTTGGCACTTGCTATGTGAAGGTTTGGTACTTGCTATGTGAGCACAAAAAAAATCATGGACATGCTTCTAAAAGGTTAATTGTTCCTGAAAAAAGCTAATTTTTTTTTTTTTTAGATAACCTTAACTGTGGAGCACAACTTTTTTAGATTTATGGCTTTGATTTTCCTCATGGTTTTAGAGTAAAATGTGTTTTGAAACATAGTTCATAAAAAATTTGAAAGTAATATTTCTGTGCATTTTTCATAACAATAAATTTTTTAATTCACTTTTTTCAAAGTGTTTTTCTTAAAAACAAGACCAAACTCAATATTTATCACAGTTCAAGTTGGAAATGGAAGTTTCATTTTCAGGTCTTTGCTCAAAAAGTGAATAAATGCATTATAGCTAATGCATAAACATCATTTAGCACCATAAAATCCCCTAAAATATTAAATAAAAACTAAAATATGGTACAATCCTTTAATTTAAATTAAAAAAAATTGTCATTTTCGACTGTCACACAAGCAGCAGGGTTAAGTCAAGTTATCTTGACATGTTTATCAATTTATAAATATTCAATGAAAAGTGATGCACTATTCTCAGATCAATATCTCACTCTCTGCCGATCACGGCACGCATCAATCACATCTGATGATTTCAATCCTGTCCGTTTAATCATTTCCCGTCCTGAATTTAATCTACAAACTACATCTGAAAATTATTCATTGTCATCATGATGTCCAACAAAAGTAATCAGTTTTAGGTGATTAATTTCACACTTATTGTCTATAAGCTGTTTTGTACGTGGCGCCTATAAAATAATTTAGCAAATTCATTAAAATCAAAATTGCTTTCTGCCTCGTTTTAAACAGATACGCTCATTCACAACTCATGTATCATCAGTTTCCCTGCTTATAAATAACTTAAGTTTGGTCATTCATATCATTGAAACTCGTAATTGTGATATTTCTCACACGTTATCCCAGCGAAATTGTGTAAGTCCATTTTTAATACAGAGATAAACCTGAAGCTGAAGAGCAAAGATCCCAGACTTGTTCATTTCCAGGCCTAGACTGAAGATTTCACGCAAATGAACAAGAACAAGAGAGCGAGAATGAAAGAGTGAGAACTTAATTGGGCGTATCAGGTTTAATTTATGGATCTCTGTACAATTGATTTTATATTCCTCATGCTTTACTCCATCTTGCTAATTTTTACTGCACTGAAGCGGCAAACAAAATTAATGAGCGACTTCAGCTCTAAAACATGCAAATGATCAGATTTGGATTTGATTGTTTTTTTTTTTACACCGTGCCAACTTCGTCTGTTTTCATGGTGAAAACTATACTTGAGTAATTAATATTTTTTTTTTAAATTATGTAATTAATTTAGTCAATTATGTTTCTCTATAAGTTGTGGAATATTATTATTTGTTTATTATTTAGATCCCCATTAGCCCAAATATATAAACATCAAAGCTGTACGACAATGAACACGTGCTCACAACATCATCTAAGTCACACACATACACAAAACATAACATCACAATGTAAGCTACAAAATATTACCACTCTCTGGGTATAATATAAAATAAAATATGAAAATCCCATTTCAATTGCCATAGCTCATTATCCACTCATTAATATTTACATAATTACAGTTACTCCAAAGTAAATAAACACAGTCTCAATCTTTTGGAAAAAACTATCATTGTGAAAATAATGTGAGCGAGTTCAATGCCAGCTTTGCTCTATAACACGATGTTCGTTGAAGTTGATTTGTTCGACAGGCAGGTGACGAGAAACGCCCTTCACTTGATTGAGAAATATAACTTTAATAACTTTCTGGGCCGGCAAGTTTGGATCCCATAGAAGCCTATGGAGGAGTGATCCAGCTCTCAGATTTAATCAGAAATATCTTCATTCGTTTCGAAGATGAACGAATGTCTTACAGGGTTGGAACAACATGAGGGCGAGTCATTACTGACAGAGTTTTCATTTTTGAGTGAACTATCCATTTAAAGTGACGGCAGCCTAATTTCGGTCTGTGTGCTGTATTAATAAATAAAAAATAGACTAAATCACTCACTCCTCTTGACTGACTAACTTTTGGAGCTTTAAAAACCCCTTAACTGTCACTTGCCTGTATACGGGCAATCTAAATTTACTTCACTTTATTACTATTAAATCCTAATCTAGTCTTTACAAACTATATATCGTTGGAAAGGACTAAGGCAGAATGCATACAATTAAATTCAATGGAATTCAATGGCACCCGGTGGCTATTTTTGGTATAACGCCTAAACAAAATCTCATGGGAACTTCAAAATTTGTGATATAACTTTAAATTTGGAACACAACTTGGTTAGATATATAGCTTTCATTTTATAGTAAAAAATATTTATTTTATATTAAAAAAATAGATTAATAAATTATATTTGATTTACTGTAAATTATAACGGCCATAACTTTTTCATACTTTAATTTTTTTAAGTGCTTTCACTTCAGTAATAATCTGCTGATTGTTTTCTTTAAAACAAGACCAAACTTGGGTATATATATTCCAAAGCATTCTTGAATTACAACCATTTAAGTTTGTATAGTGCATTTTAATGTCCATCAAAAAGGAGGGTGACAGGTAAGGGGTTAATAAGAATCATTATTTAATCCATATACATATTTTTACATTTGATTATTCATTTTTTGTTGTTAACTAAACCTAGGCCTACCTGAAACCCTAAACTGCTTACTTTTTACACAAAGCTACAGTAAAAGACTGTGAAACTTGCATGTGTTTCAGTTGTTAAATACACAAGTTACATTAATTTTACACACTTAAAGCAATATCAAATATAACATTATTTAACGCACTTTTCTTCAATATTGTGCAGCCCTAATATCATATTAAAACTATTTCTTATCAGCTTTAGATAAATTGAAAGGAACAGTTCACTTAAAAATGACAATTCGGTCATCATTTACTAAAGATATTTTAAAGAACCAAACATTAGTATTTCTTTCCTACATTGAAAGTCAATGGGGCAACTGTCTGGATAGCCACATTATAAATTTCTACTTTTGTGTTTACAGAAGAAATTAATTCATACAGGTTTGGAACAACTTGAGGTGGTGAGTAGCCTAAACCTAAACGGTGTCAACATTTGTATTTTTAAGTGAACTATTCCTTTAATGTAGCCTATATCTTCCGCTCAGATCACTGTGTTTGTGTGAACAACAAAAACAACAGGTGCTGGTCTCTCTCTCTCTCTCTCTCTCTCTTTCTCTCTCTCTGGTTCTCGGACATGAGCGATGGGTCGGGACCCTTCTGACGTGCACACACAATAACACACCAATTTGCCATCGCCCCGTTACCATGACAACAGTGCTTCCAAGGTAACAGGCGGGAACGGAGCGGGCATGCAAGTAGAGTTTCAAACGCATATGCATACATGACCCGACATCAAAACACGCACACACACACACACACACACAAGGCACGCGCTCTGCTCTTCTGCAAGCTGTTGACTCGCTTCACATTAAAAACACTACGCAGGTTCATGAGTCACGTAATGCGTGCGTGTTTCAGCGTTTACTTTATTAAAGAGCAGAAACACTGGCGTCGGTCAAACGGCACTTGTTGCACAGCTCAAAAGAGGACGTGTGTGTGAGTCATCTAATTACTGAAAACACACACATGCATGCAACTCAAGGATGCGTATACAAACACGCATGCATGCATGCTATTCAAGGATGCACATACAACACACACATTCAGGCATGTTATTCAAGGATGCACACGCAGTTGGAGTCCGGCATATGTGAAGTTCTCGGTCTACCTGTCTGTGTGCGTGAGAGACAGACAGACAAACAGACAGACAGAGTGAGTCCTCGTCTTACCTCTTGATGGTCGTCTCTGTCTCGTCTGTAAGCTCAGTGTTCCGACAACCGCCCCCATGTTGTAACAGTCGTATGTGCGTGTGTGTGTCCGTCACGTGCGTTTATATCAGTGTCTCGCTGTGTTTCTCTGTCCAACCATCATCATCCCGTCTTCACTGAGTCTAATAATCCAACGCTCCTGCCTCCGACTGCTCGCTTCACCCCTCCCTCCACACACACTCGCGTTCTCGCTCTCTCTCGCTCTTTCTCACATACGCACTTGTTCATCTTTACTCTCCATCGCGCCAAAACATGCCTGGGTTATATATTTTTTGACCCGCTACATTTATGTGTGTTAGAAAATATATTTTGAATGAAAAAAAAAAAAAAACTTTGGGACAATTAAGATTTGTTGCAATGAGACTTGTAAATATTTTTGTTTGACATTTTAATGACAACTAAGCACCCTTTTCTTAATCAAGAATAAAGCTTTTTTGACATTCTAATGACAATCAAGCACCTTCCACAAAAATGTAAAATATTTGATATGCATGTATATATGTGTGTGTGTGGTATAATTATATTTCTAATTTGAAAAAAATATCTTTACATAATGGTAGACATTTTTGATGGCTTAGTTTTAAACTCATGAATTACAATAAAGAGGAATCAATATTGAAAATTACGAAATAAAGTAATGTCTGTGTTAAAGGAGCAATGTGTGATTTTTAGCGACATCTAGTGGTTCGGTTGCGAGTTTGCACCAGGTTTGCACTAAGGGCTCAGCCCACTGCTCACCCCTCCCTTTCGAAGAAGCTACGGTTGCTAAAACGGGACAAACATCTCGTCGGCTGAGACAGCAGAGAATAGCCAGAGTAAGCCAAGAGTGTGTAACATTGTCACTGTTTCTGTACCACAGTCCATTATAAACCACATCATGGATACTGTTTACAAAGCCATAGTCAGGTGAGGATCAAGGGTTTTAATATATAATTTAATAAAATAATAGTAATCAGCTGATTGTCTCACAAACGTAACCAGCAGCACATTTCTCCACACATACTGTAGCAAACCCATAATACAGCGAGGGAGCAGCTATATATTTTTTCTAACAGGGTAGTAATAGTTTAGCTGGCTAATATGAGCTGTTAAGGCACACCGAGTCCGAAATTCGCATCCGAAATTTTCGCACGTTAAAAAAAAAAATTCGACCTCACGTTATGTCAGTCACGCTCGCACACCACCTCCGAAACTTTCGTCCGTCATAAAATTAATCGGATCGGGTTCGATTTTCTGCGTTTTTCGCATCCAGAGCCAGCATTTTGAGAGGTCTTTTGACAATTCAGGGCCGGAGGAGCTCGTCCTCATTGCACAAATGCGCCGTGCTTTCAGTTTCGGTTTTCAATTCGATCAAGTGTTTATGTTCTCTTCTCTATATTGGATTATGAAATTAATAAACCTCCCCTTTCAATCAGATTGAAATTTAGGATCGAATAAGGTGTGATTGAGCAGCCTATTCGATAACTAATTTGGGCACAATATACATAAAAGCCTAGCTGTTCTGTCTGCCCAGCGCTTCCAACGTGCCGCGCGGGTGTGTGTTTGTCCGTGTGTGTGTGTGTGTGTCCATACCTGGTCCATACCAGACACACTGCCAGTCTCCGTTCAGAATCGATTGGTGGTCTTGTTTTTAATATGTGGCTCCAGAATCGCTAGCAAAGCATCAAACTGTCCCACTGACATTCTGAGGTAAATTTTGAATCGCTCAGGATAAATTCGCAACTCCTTGATAAGGAACTCTCCTCTCGGCGCAATTTCAGGATTGGATGGACGTAATATTTTCTCTTTCTTCTCTTTTCAATAAGAGAGAGGGCAAAAATCATCCTCACTGCTTGACGAATCCATTTGGTATTTTTGCGTTTTTTCCCGCAAAGGTTTAAGAAATACGCAACGGACTCGGTGTGCAAGGTTTCTATGCGTGACGAATTTTTAGGCTGACGAACACGAAAATACGCATACGAATATTTCGTGCTCAGTGTGCAATGGCCTTTACTGTGGCTGAGCTGGGACGCGTCCACATGAGTCCAAAGGTCGGAAGTGTGCGCGCTGTTACAATCATCTCCGCATCCCATAGATACTATTTACTACACACAATAGGCTTTTTTCTCTGATTTTGAAAACTCTTCGTGATCGACTTTAGTGATCTAAAAGTCTTTATCGACGGGTTAGTGATTCCTGTAACGTACTGTTTTACGGTCAATGACATGAATACTAATCATCAGCTGTCTCACGAACGTAACAGCACATCTGTCCCCAACATAACAAACCCATAACACAGCGAGGGAGAACTAAGTTACACGAAACAATCCCAACTACATATTTTACACCACTCACAAGGGAAAAGTCACTACTCACGGAGTGTAAGGCTAGCTTCCAGCTTTCCGCTACTTCTCTTTCAAGGTAGTGATGAAACGCGTTCTGTAGCTGTTTGTTCGCGTTCGGCTACGGTAGGAATATGACGTCACAACATGGCGACCTTCATAGAAGGGGATTCCCGCGGTTATGGAGCTATTAATGTCTCATTCTAAGGTAATAAAAACATTACGGTTAATTAATTCTTTATTAATTAATTAGTTCTTTATACACCACTGAAAACATAGTTATGGATGTCATATTGCATTTCTGTTAATAGATACTTAACTTTTTTACACATTGCACCTTTAATTTTTGCCCCCTAAAATGAAACTAAGTTAAACTCTTTAGGACAATTAAGATTTCTTTTTTATTATTATTTTAATTTTTTATTTTTTTTTTTTTACATTTTAATGACAATTAAGCACCTTCCCCTTTAAATTTAAAATAAGTAAATAAAAATAAATAAAATGTATAGGCATGTTATAATTGTATTTCTAGTTTTTTAAAATATTTAAAATGTTTTTATTGTAATTAAAAAAAATAAAAATAAATATATAATATATATATATATATATACACACACACAAGTATATATTTATATATTTGCATATATATTATATATATATATATATAAACACACACATGCACACTCACCTAAGGGATTATTAGGTACACCATACTAATGTTTGACCCCCTTTCGCCTTCAGAACTGCCTTAATTCTACGTGGCATTGATTCAACACGGTGCTGGAGACATTCTTTAGAAATGTTGGCCCATATTGAAAAAAGTAGTTATGAAAAGCCCATTCAGACGACTACTTTTCTGGATGATTGGTCAACTAGAAAAAAAAAATATTTGTGAAAGCTTAACAACATTAAATAAAAGAAAATGTAAATTAAAATAATTAATTTATTAAAATTCATTAAAGTAAATAAAATAATTAAATACAATTTAAATTTAATTATAATTAATATAATCAAATAAATAAAATCATTTAGATGCAATATTTTAATTTAAGGAAAAAGAAAGAATCTGGTGTCATACGAGTAACTAGCCTGCTGCCAGCCCAAAGTCAGGAAGTTCGGTCTTACTGCGTTGCTCTGATTGGTTGTAGGTTTACCGACTATCCAATTGAGTGCAGAGTTGTTGTTTTTTTCCTGGTTCGGTTACGACACGCTTCATAATCAAAGCCCTACGGAGCAGTTTCAGACTCATATTCCAACAAGAATAGTCAGGCTAACGAGTAACATGAAACAGTTGTACAAATCTGTTGTCTGGAATAAAAGGCATATAATAAGCTTATTTAATATTTAAAAACATCATAAAGCTCTAAATAATGTAGATTGTAAGAATGTTAATAACTGAGATGGATGGATGTACACGAGGTAAACTCAGAGATGAAAAGGTGGATCCTTTCCAAAGGACAGAAATTCATAAATCTAAATGAAATACTTCCACAGCGGAAAAAATAAGATTGATTAAAAAATTGAGTGCCATTGCATCAGGATAACGTTGAGATATGAGGCCTGAGACGTCCATCTCCTCTCTCTCTCTTTCTCTCCTCAACAGAAACAGAAAGAAATGGGTTTTTCTCCAGACATGATACGAGTGTTTGATGTTTTACACCAGCAGTGGTTTAATAAAGATTGGAAATGGAGGATGAGGCGACAGAGCGAGAGAGAGAGAGAGACGGCCTCAATAACATACTGTCGTCCCTGAGGAAGGGAATTGGCTATAGAGTTATATTAGAAGGTCTCTGACAGAAAGGCAGGACATGTTTTGATCGAATGGTTGTTGCCGCCTGTTTCTACACAACGATGTCAAACAAACAGTGAAGAAAGCGACTGCGTGCCAAAAAGCATGAATATAAATGATGCTGCGCACTCACGTGTGTCATGAAGAGATGGGCAATATATACTAGAGCCAATGTTCACAGCCTTAACGGGGTTACACTTTATTTTAAAGGGGTCATTGTTACAGTGTAGTTATATATTCAGGTACTGAATAATATTAAAGGGATAGTTCACTTTGAAATTAATTTTTGATATGTTTTATCTTACATCAAGGGCATCAAAGATGTAGGTGTCTTTGTTTCCGCAGTAGTTTCAATTTTGATATTTTTAGGTCAAACCGTTCTTGTCTGTCAGTCACATGGAGGTCTATGGTCACCACCTCAAAGAGCATTAATTTTTGATAGTTTTGATCATTAATTTTTGATATGTTTTAGCTTACCTCAAGGGCATCCAAGATGTAGGTGTCTTTGTTTCCGCAGTAGTTTCAATTTTGAGATTTTTAGGTCAAACCGTTCATGTCTGTCAGTCATATAATGGAGGTCTATGGTCACCACCTCAAAGAGCATTAATTTTTGATAGTTTTGATCATTAATTTTTGATATGTTTTAGCTTACCTCAAGGGCATCCAAGATGTAGGTGTCTTTGTTTCCGCAGTAGTTTCAATTTTGAGATTTTTAGGTCAAACCGTTCGTGTCCGTCAGTCATATAATGGAGGTCTATGGTCACCACCTCAAAGAGCATTAATTTTTGATAGTTTTGATCATTAATTTTTGATATGTTTTAGTTTACCTCAAGGGGATCCAAGATGTAGGTGTCTTTGTTTCCGCAGTAGTTTCAATTTTGAGATTTTTAGGTCAAACCGTTCGTGTCTGTCAGTCATATAATGGAGGTCTATGGTCACCACATCAAAGAGCATTAATGTTTGATAGTTTTGATAATTAATTTTTGATATGTTTAAGCATAGGGCATCTAAGATGTAGGTGTGTTTGTTTTTGCAATAGTTTAAATTTTGATATTTTTAGGTCAAAC